TGCATCGAGTCATGTCGGAGGCTGCTTTCTGCGAAAACTGACAAGTGGGCTGGGTGTGTTGGGGGGGGGAGGAGCTGTTGGGTGGAAATTTAGGGGTGGGGGAGGGGAAGCAGTGAACTTGCCTCACGCGCCCCCCAGGCAGATAGGGGGGGGGGTTCCAGTGGAGCTAGTCCCAAGTAGGTGAGGCATGCGGCGCTTCAGTGCCATCGTGGTCCTGGGCCCTTGCCAGCCTCCGGGGAGCAGAGGGATCTATTCCCAGCGTGACCTTCCAGGACCCTTGGCCGGCTCTCTTGGAGTGTGGGGGGGGACTACGCATTCCTGGCTTTGGCGCCCCGCCCAGGCTACTGAACCCTCTCCCATCGCTGCTGTCGCCAGCGGGGTCCCCCCCTCCGTGGCTCCCTGTTTGCTTGGGGGCAGTGCCCACTGTCGAAGGGGCAGCCGGGACAGGCAGGGGGCAGACGGAGGACTTCCCTGGAGAAGGCCTGGGGCGTACTGGCCCTTGGCCTTGGGGTGGTGGTGGTTCCCTGGCAGGCTGCCGGGGGCCTCACGACGGAGTCTGCACAGCTCGGGCCATGGGGACTGGGGTCTGGGAAGAGGGTCCCCGGCCCAGGCTGAGCGGACTCTGCCACGTGGCCCTCTTGCCCTCCGCTCCCAGGGAAGGCTGTTCTGCCTCCCCACACGCTGAACTCCCCACCCCCACATCTATCTTGCACATTTTTGCATCTCATCCTCCCAAACACCCCGATGAGGTCGGTGAGGCTGAGAGACTGAGACAGGCCCGAGGTCACCCGGCGTGTCTCCAGGGCTGAGCAGGGATTCAAACCCAGGCCCTGGCCCAACACTCCAACCCGGACCGGACCCTGGCTCTCATGGTTTTAACTGGGGTGGATCCTCCCCCTCGCCTGCTGGCCTGGGCGGACCTGAACACAGGCCGGGGCTGTTTATCTTCACCCTGGCTGCCCTCTCGTCCCTTTTTCTCCACTCTCCCCCCCCAAAAAAAATTCCCTTCCAGGGTTTTCTCCAGCTCCCTTCCGGATGTATAGTGATGGGGGGGGGGCTCACCTCCTCCTGGAGAAGGGCAGGCCGGGCTGGCTGAAGCCGGCACCCCCCACATTCCTCCTGGGATTTGACGGGGCTATTCTTAGTGGTGTTTATGCAAGCGCTGCCAGGAGGCCAGGACTAAGTAGCCAGTGAGGACAGGGGGGTGGGTGGCAGAGGGAGGGGGGGCCCTGCTGCCACCGCCGCCCAGGTCAGCCCTGCATGGCAGTCTTGGCACAGCCTCGCAGCCGCGGAAGAGGCAGGAAGGCTGAATGGGGCGGGGAGAGCCAGGGCTGCATGGCTTCCTGAATGCCAGTGTGCGGGAGTCCGTGTGTGCCTTGGCACTCTTCCTTGCCAGCTGCTCTGAACCTGTGCCCGGGGGCAAAGGAGGCTCCCTTCGACTGTCACACACAAACCAGCCGGGCTGGTTCTTAAACTCACCCGGTTCACGCCCCGCTGACCCCCACCTGGGCTAGTCCTCAGGTGTGTGGTTAACCCCTGGGCACCTGGGAGCCCACAACACATCCCCCACCACCGCCCAGCCACCTTCCCCCTGTTCTCCACCAGATAGGAGAAACAGGCGATGATCCCTGCAAGGACGGAAAGAACCGTTGGCCTGTGCACGGGTGCTTGTGGGTGGGTGGCTGGCTAGCTGGCTCCCGTAGGGGCGGGCAAGGTTTTGCTTCTGCCGGAGCTCTTGATCGGCCAGGAAAGGCTGACGCTCCATCCAGCTTCTGCGTTCTGCTTCCAAATCGGGGATGGGTGTTTACTTTGCAGATGCGCAGAGGGGCCCTCGCTCCCATCCTGACGCTAACCAGAGAGTGTCAAAGCAGATGTTCCCCTCTGCCCAATATCCAAACCGGCCCCCGGATTGGCTGGGCTGCTGGCCTGCCCCATTCCCAGGCTGGGGCGGGGGGGGGAGATGTGAGCAGGCGGTCCACCGAGAAACACCGGCTTCTTCTTTTTTTAAAAAAAGGCCAGGCTTGACGTTTATTTATTTATTTTGCTAGGCTTTTATCCCCCCGCCCCCCTTGCATGCCGGGCTCAGGACAGGATGTGTCTTCCTGAAGTACAAAATGCTTCATGCCCAAAGAAAGCATTTGACCAAGCGGGAAGGAAGCTCTTGAATGCTTGGTATCTTCAAGGCTGGGGAAGGGGCGGGGAGGGCGGCCCCGCTGCAGGCTCAGCGCCCCCAAGAGGCCTCTGTGCTCTCGCAGAGGTGGGGAAGGTTTGGCCGGGGGATATAAAAGCGGGGGAGGAACCCGCTCTGGGGCTTGGCTCTTGCGCCTGCCCACGTGCACCTCAGGTGACCGTGGGGAGATGCCAGGGTCCCAAACTATTCAGGGAAGCTGGGGCCGACTTTCAACGCTTGGAACGCCGCAGTCTTCGCTCCTCTGCATGCTCGCGTCCAAGCAAGCCGAGCACACGGATCAACTGCAAGAAGTGGGGGGGGAGCAGTCCCTTTGCCCCCACCCCCAGGCCAGATCCCGGGGTTCTGCTCCCACTGAAGAGTGCCTGGCACTGGGTTATGTAACTGGCGTTGGGCTCCCTGCCCAGTTTCCATAGTAACATCCCCACCCCCTGGCTGGGAATGGTATAAACAGAGGGTGGCAGGCATATAATGGCCCCT